GCTCATCAATGTATTGTAGATGTGAACATCTGCGGGTAAGGAGCTTGTATGAAACTCATCCATCAACACAAGCGCCGCTTGCCATTGGCCAATGTCTTCATCTCCGCAAGCGAAGATGGCAGTCGTGTATCCTTTGGTATCTGGCTGCACCTCGCGAGTTGTCTTCATCTGCGAAAAGACTTGCAAAGCCTGAGACCACCATGAGCCTCTGCCGCATGAGCTGATCATCATATTGCAAGTGTTGCGCCCAGGCTTCAGACCCATCTTGCTCACTTTCTCAAACAATAACAAACTCCAAAGCCAATGGCTTCTGCTTCTGCTTGCTTCCTCTGCGTCCTCTGAGCTTTTCTCGCGCGCCTCTCCCATGGCTCCCAGTGCAGCTCTGTAAAGGCCGAGGTCTTGTGCCAGTGCTTCCCTGTAGGCTTCGGAGAGGAGTGAGATGGCCTTATGCCATTCACTGGCACCAATCAAGGAAGTGTAAGTGATCGCATTTGTCTCGATTTGCGCTTCTTGAACCTGTCTCAGCAACTTGGTAGCGGTCTCGAGCTCATTTCCAACCACACATGCGTGGATAGCGGAGTTGAAGGTTGGAAGGGTTGCTTGTAGCTGCAGTTTCTTCATTTCGTCCAAAAGAAACAAAGCATGTTGCCAATGTTCAGCTTTGCCACATGCGCTGATGGCCCCCGAGTATGTCACAACATGCGGACTGCATCTCGATTCGCGCATCATCTTTAAGAACTTGAGAGCTTCGAGCCATCTCTGTGCTGCTTCACAAATGCTCACGGCAACAGTAAAGCATATGGAATTGGGTACCAAATGCTCAGCGCGAAGCTCATCCCATACGTCCAAAGCTTGTATCCACATAGCAGCCTTACAGCAGCACTTCATCACTGAACTCTTCGTGACGACAGTTGGATGCAGTTGAGAGCCCTTGATCTCGTTCTTCAAAATTAGAGCTTTTTCCCAGTTTCCCTCACCGCAGGAGGACAAACTGGCATTGAAGGATATCACATCCACTTGCATTTGAATCCGATGTTGTGCCTCAAGCAAGCACAAGGATCTCTTCCACTGTTTCAGGCCCATCACTGTATTGTAGGTGATCAAATCACTGAGTCTCCGTCCGTTGGCTTCCTCAAAAAGAGCAAACGCTTGTCTCCAGCGACCCGCTCGGCCGATCCGTTGATTCCACTCGCTCGTCCCGCTCGGCCGACCGGAGCCCTCGCCTTCGGAGTTCCGCTCGGGACTCCCGTTGCTCCGACCCTCGGGAGTGGCTTCCCCTTGCCGCATGAGGAGTCCGGCCTCCATCGCACCAGTTGTGGCGGAGTGGTCCCTTTTCGCTCTTTCTTGAGCAAAGCGGAGCAAAGCGGAGCAAAGCTCCAAAAGTTTCGAGCAGTTTGGAACAGTCCAAAGAACCCGGTGTGGTCGCTTCGCGTGGGAAAAAACGAAAGCAAACACCTCAGCCCGAGGTCTGGCACCTCAGCCCGAGCCAGCTCATCAAGCCTGGCACCGATTTCTCCTTCTCAAAAAGAAAGAAAGAAACACCTCTGTGACATGCCTTGCTTCCGAGCTGGCATTCCGGGTCTTCAGGTCGTTGATCTCCGCCTGCGTGAAGGGTGTAGACTCGATAGACTCGAGAACGACATCAGGTGCCACGCTACTAGTAACAGGTGCCACGCTAGTAGTAACAAGTGCCTTACTAGTAGTAACAAGAAGCTAGTAGAAACAATAAGCTAGTATAACAAATTGAAAGTTCTAAGCTCCCATGCTAATGCCCTTGTTCCTAGTAGCGATGCCAGGAGCCCCTAGTCGCGTCCTTGCTCCTAGTAGTAAGGCCAGGAGCCCCTAGTAGCGTTCTTGCTCCTACTAGTAATGCCCTTGTTACTATGTTTTTCTGTTCAAAGTTGAAGAATGTTTGGAGCCTGTTGCAGGTTAAGACATAGCACCATTGCACAAGCGGCAGAAGCGGACAAGGTTGTTTCCAAGAACGTGGTTGGCTCCGCCTGCAAGGCTGCATGGGTTCGGGACACCTGCGAGGGTCGGTTCAATCGTACGGTCTTCTACTAGCGTCCTTGCTCCTAGTAGCTTCTTGTTCCTAGTAGTACGGCCAGGAGCCCCTAGTAGCGTTCTTGCTCCTAGTAGCGATGCCCTTTGCTCCTAGTAGTTTCTTGCTCCTAGTAGCTCCTTGTTCCCTTCATTCGATCGTCATCTTCGAAGCGGGACGACGACGATCGTCACCTCCTCCGGGAACTGCACCGAGTGCCTTGGACTTGTGGCCGCATGCACAAACATGCGCACCTCCTACTGGTCTTTTGAAGCGTCGAAAATCTCTAGTTTACTCCATTGAAGCTAAAAACAATGGCCTCCAACCTACGTGCGATGGCCTCCAACCTAATCAGTTTACTCTGTTTACTCTCCGCATCTTGTTTGACTTTTAAGGCGGATTCCAAATGACCTCTGGCGGCCCCGACTTTTCTGAAGCGATGCCCACCATGCTTTGTTCCAAATGCTCCGTCCTGCAAGTACGGTCCAATTGACGGGCCGGCGTATCTAACAACAGTCGCAAGCGAATCGAATCTATGACTTGCAGTCTTGGGCCTGGACTATCTGAAGGAGGAAGAACAATATTCAGAATTGGTTTGTTTTTCTGTGGTTTTTCATTACAATTTTTTTTTGTTGGTGTGTCTTCTTGGACTTTTGGATGACCTTTTGCCCTGATGAAACACGGTGTGTCTACACACACGAATTCCTTTCTCCAACTCTCACAAGTCCTCTCCAGGGCTGTGCTGATCATCTCCTCGATTCTTGAAACCGCGTAACGTCTCTGTCATTGGAAAAATGGTTCTAGACTCTTAAAGATTAAACACCTGGAAGAAACAACGAAACTGCAAACACTTAAACAGTTACAGTTACATTTGTATAATCAGTCAAAAACATGTTTGATTTGATTTCGGCGCCTACCTCATGCAAATACTGCTGAAATAGTTTCTGTCCATTTCGTCCCGCCAGACCCGTCCTCCAAACGCGCCTCGGGCGACACACAACAGGCTAAACTTAGCAGTATTGACATATCAAATGGAACTTAGAGAAGAAAATACACCAGCATAATCCCCGGAGAGCGTATCAAGTGCCACAAGGCAAAGCTATTACCACAAGGCAATACATGCATCATTTTGTCGGACACAATATCATGAGAGGATATCGCCCCTGCCATGCCATGATGTCATCCAATCGAGTAGTGCCCACCATGACATCTCAATCATTTGCTTCATGCCATGGTGAGGAGCATGTTGCCATGGTCGTGAATTTTGCGTTGTTCAATTTTGCTTGTGGGTCCTCGGGCTTGGGATTGCTATTTTAGTGTTTGGGGAGTTCGCGTCGGGGTGTCGCCAACGTCTCCAGTTGGCATCCAAAAGTGCTACCGTGTGACCACCTGCCACGCAAACGCCAACACACAGGTAACTGTATTTTTGTAGTTGTGTCTTTGTGGTTGTGTCTTTGATGTCATTTGTGGCATGACATGATGTCATCCCTGGCAAAACGAAACGCCCCGGCTCGGCACCAGCGCCGGCAAAACCAAACTCCGATCCAGCACCACCAGCACCAGCACCAGCACCAGCACGGCAGCAGCACCCGCAAAACGAAACGCCGATCCGGAGCCATACCATTGAGAAGCAAGAACCCCTATAGCTTGCAGCTATCTGGGGAACAAAGAAAACTTCACAAGTAAAGATCCAAGCCCCCCGGCACGGCTCACGCCTTCCTCGCCGGCTTTGGGTGAGGTCAACTCCTGGCGCCACGAGCGCAAATGACCTGCTCGACCCCTCCGCCGCCTCCGCCGCCGCCCTCCTCCCCACTGAGGTCACAAAGTGTTACTAATAGCTTCTTGTTACTACTAGTAAGGCACTTGTTACTAGTAGCGAGGCACTTGTTCCTAGTAGCTTCTTGTTTCTAATATGTTGGTCGATTTCTAGTCGAAATTCCTGAAACTTGTAGTCAATCATTCGGAGAAAGGCACCTCGTGGCGATGAAATCTCTGCATCACATCCTGCAAACACAGGAGTCATCGCATCAAAAGCATCAAGGTGTGGGAAAGCACAAAAACCGGAGCAACAAAAACTGAAGATTAGTCGGTCCGCACAACACTTCTTCACTTCAGAAAGAGTTCTAGAAAGAGCCCACAAAAGCAACTTTGACAAAAATAGTTAAAAGCGCTGTTTCCCAAAAAGCGGTGGAGATGTTGACCCGTCCAACAATCCGCGGCACTCGTGGGAAGCGTTGGCCTCTTTGTGACTTGAGAGCTCGGCCATGAATTGACTCTCCACGGCCTTCAACGAAAACCATCTCGGATTTGTAAACATAAAGAGAAAACATAAAAATGCTCTTGTTACTAGTAGCGATCAAAGACCTACTAGTAGCTTCAAAGACCTACTGAAACGTTTCTTGTTACTGCAGGTGAAACGATTCCCAGTGAAGCAAGTCGCAAGGAAGCTTCTAGCTCCTAGTAGTTTCTGAGTTTCTTGTTCTTACCAAGAGAAAACAGAAAGAGATTTTGGAAGAATGACTTTCACTTTGATAATAATGTAATAATGTGTCCTTTTTGCCCTTGATGCCACCTCTCCGCCGCATCCCTGCGCCCCGCGGCCCGATGCCTCCACCTTCTGTGACAAGACGTGTGTGATTTGGGCGCATTCTGCCAGGTTCCCACGGACCTCTGCGATCTGGGCCTGCCACAAAACCCAGCACGACATGCAAAGAGTCTATCCAAATGTCGGCTCCAGATTCTTCTTCGAACGCGAAAAAGAACTTCAAAAGAACGGACCCCGTTGATCGCCCCAACTGTGTGAGCCGATCAGGTAGCCGAGCTGAGCAGTTTTTCATGACAACTCCAAGCCTTCTTCAAGGAGCAAGAAACAAGCCTTCTCAGGTCAGTCAAATTGGAGTTGTGGAAACATCCACTCCGAATTTCCACTTTCACCAGTCGACTTCGTCGGCCTAGCGATTCACGACGCAGTTGTACCAGACTCAGATTGATACCGCAAAAGGGAATGCAGCATCCAGAGCGAGTCGCAGCAATCAAAGACACAGGTCAATGTGGCATTGGACGGGAGAAGGTCATGGATCATGCTGGATATCTCATACTCCGAAATGTGACCCGACTGGTGATCCGCAGGCAGCAGCTGTCGACCGTCACCATGTCCCGAAAAGTGGAAGAAGAGTTGGAACGCTTGCTCCGAGTCCTCTTCTCCTTCTTCTCCTTCTATCATCACATTTGGATTATCACTGGACAAGGTCATCTCCAAAGGTGCGGGAAAAGTTTCGACAAAGATGTTTAACACAAAAACACTGAAGGTCGGATATGATTTAGGGCGTGGCGAACTGCGAGGTCAAGGTGTGATCTGGTGATGTGCTTCATGCTTTGAGTGATTGATCTGTGTGTGACGATTTGTGGTGCTTGGATAGCGCTGGTGGATTTGCCAAATGGGAAGCATCCCACATGCTTTCTGTCTGGGACCTGTACGGAGAATGTGAATACACAGTAACAAGGCGCTCCTGGCCTACTAGGAACAAGAAACTACTAGTAACAAAGGGTGTCGGTAGCAACCGGAATCGTACTGTCCACACGCTCTTTTCACTGCGAAAGCGAGCACGGTATAGCTCAAGGGCCCTAGGAGCCAAACGGCGGCAGACACAACATAGTGTGACAACCTGGCTCAACAGAATGAGATCCTACCTCAAATTCACACTCAACCTGTTCTACAGGTGTCACACGGCTATACATTGAAACTCTTGTGTCTTCCTAAGGCATTGGAGAAATCTACTTCTGCTTCTGTACAGTGTAGTGGCACTCCCTCAGCACTCGAAGTAGCAGATCTGGTTTCATGGACTTCGTTAGACAGTCCGACACCATCGTACTGGTGGCAATCCAGATCAACTTGTCTCCTCCATTCTCGAAAGCAATCCATGTTGGTCTTCCTTCTTGCCACAAATTCTCATGGATTCCTTGCAACTCGATACCAAGGCGCTTGTCACTCACCTTGGCCAGGACTTCCTGATTGAGGTGGTCAGAAAGCGAACGGCAATCAGTCACCGCCAAATGCGGAATGCATTCACGGGCATCATCTTCCCATGTCTTCAAACTGCGAATCTTGCCCTTGATCTCCGCAATCACACCTCTCAGCTTGTCACCTGTCTCGAGTCCGTTCTGGAGGGAATACGTTTCGGCCTGGAGAGTGCTGCGGCAGACTCTCTTAATTGTCGTGGATCCAAAAGACAGTGGCATCACCTTATAGGTGGTCGTCTTGTCATCCTTGATCTCCTTGAGATCACCCAGAAAATGGATCCTGCCCTGTTGCGACTTGTAGTTCTTCTCGTTGGAGAAGGAGGCATCTGTGACCGTGATCACACCAACTTCACTCCATTGGAGATGAGCCGCAGGAAAACACAATGCCACATCGTGACCTTTGTGTGCCAGGACAACGACTGCGTTAGCGTCTGCCAACGTGGACACAGTTGCATCTTTAATGCTAGACTGCAAACGGCTTACCCTGTAACCAAGGTCAGGCCTGGTCTGTCTCGAGATCCAGGCGAGCGATCCGGTGATCGATCTGAGCTTCGTGATGTCTCCTTGCTGAAGACGCTCACTGCCTAGCCTAGATCCAACATCTGCTCCATGAATCTTCCTAGTGTTATCTGCTGTGTCGACTTTGATGACCTTGTCATCTCCTCGCACGAACTGCTTCCCACAATATCGAAAGCTGTTAGTGTCTGAGCTGCCGACACTGAACTTGGCAAGAAAAGACTTCATCACTTCCTCGCCTTCCGGAAGAAAACTATAAAGCAAGTCGTCCACGTGAGTGCACATGAGGGCACAAGCATCTCCTCCCTGCTCACCTGGGAGGTAGTACAATCCTGGGAAAAACTGGCTTGCCTTCAGGCCGCTCTTACGTGCATCGGCATCCAAACGCAACCAAAAGCCTCTTCCTGAGTCCGTGATTCCGTATACAGGGACCCTCACGAGAAAAAGGACATTGGGTTCTACACCTGGCAAACCTCCTCTTGGCTGACGCATGAGAAGGACGCGATCCAATGGTCGTCCCTGGAAATACGCCGAGGTGATATCAGCTGAATGGATGTCGGCCTGATGACAGGCTGCCCAACTGCAGACGAGACAGTGCATCTCGACATCGGCGGTTGGACTATCTGACCTCAAACCCTCTGTCATTTCAAAGTTCCCGCACGAAACTAGTCTGCTTTTGTACATGGGCTTGTAGTCAGGGTCTCTCCCCTTCTTGTACTCTGCCTTGTCTACATCCACCCATTTGGATGGAATGCATTGGTGCCCTTCGTCAATGAGCTCTTGCGCTTGTTCTGGGGTCAATGCCACTACTGCTCCGAAATCTTCAAATTTGGACCATTCCTTTTGCCTTGTTTCCTGCAGGGCTTTCTGCACTTCTGGAGGCGCAGATTCATAGTGAATGCTCTTTAGAACCTTCTTACCTAGCTCTGCTTCATCCTCAGTCTGGGCAAGAAAACTAGTCCACATGGCGTGTGCTTCTTCTCGATCTTGCTCTGGTAGCTCTCCGTCTCTCTGGCGTGCTCTCTCGAAATGTTCTCGAAGAGAAGCTGGCAAGTCGTTCAAATGATCATACACATTAGGCCATGCATGTGGAGCGCTCGTGGATTCCCTGCGGGATGGTTGCAATGAAGTACCGCGTTCACTCTCCGGTTCGGCGACACGGGGCCTCACATTGCGACTATGCTCATTTCCTGTGTCAGGGAACGGACGTGAAACGGAGCTAGCGGACCTACTCAACTCTTCAAGCGCATCTTCACCTTCGGATTGGTCTTCATCAAAGAAATCCGGTCTGATCCCTACATCTAATTCATCATCTTCTGGAACAGGGGGTAGTGAACCAGCATCCGGAAATTGGGGTTCGGTTTCTTGAGATTCGATGTGTATTGGGGATCCGGGTTCGCTCGGATCTGCACGTGCATCAAGGAAAGACTGCTGAACACCTTCCTTGACAACGTTTTCGGGAAAAACAGGCTCACCATGCAAAACAGCATGAGCTAGTGCTTCGGTCGGAGTAGCAATCTTCACGTTTTGATTGGCGACCAACACTGGAACATTTCCACACAACAACCACAAATTCCTTTCACCTTCGTGGCCTATCACCCGACTAGTGGGACTCCATGTGGTGCCCCCCTTTTGATTGTCTCGACGAAAGGTCACTAAATCACCTACTGCATACTCCCGAGGAAGACTGGAAGCATTGCGAGTAAGCGCACGGGACACCCTTGACGAACAATCTAGGTGAACAAATGCTTTCTGGGCTTCCTGCCTGGCCGTGTGCTGTAAGGCGAAAATGCTCTCTGGGTTGTGACGGGCTTCAATAGCTCCAAGCTCGGCGAACCGTTCTTCAGACAATGGACTCGGATCCGATCGGGGTCCTTTTCCAAGTACCCATTGACTAGGCGAAAAACCTCCGACTCTACTAGAGTTGTTCTTGGTAGCTACTACCTCGAGCAGTACCTGCTCAACCTGTTCTCTGCCAACAGCGCCTGTCTCTTTGCAAACCTTCCTAAAGAGTGACTTGACAATGCCTCCATGACGTTCTACACGACCAAGATTCTCCGGACTTTCCAGAGGGGTGTGGTACACTTGGATTCCATGTTCATCCATGTACTTCTTCATGACACCTCGGTTGCGCAGACCTCTGTCACATGCAATGTTCACAGGATGGCCACACCATGAGAACCAACGCTTCCTCAGTGCTTTCAGACATTCGGCAGAAGACGGTTGACCGGCACCAAAACGAACAACCTCACATAGCTGAAAAGTAGTACCCAAACAAACCATGTTCAACACTTGGAACTTGTCACCTGAAATGTCGTGAACTTCAAACACGTCAATTCCTACAGTGTGGTTGAACGAGTAGTTGTTAGGCAATGCTGTCTTGTGCGTGGCCTTCTTCTGGGATGTTGCTTCACAAGTTTCGCATCTGTGGATCCTGACAGCATCGATAAATTCCTTTCGAACCTTTGCTGCACGAAGGAGATGGATCATCGTCTGTTTGGGGACGTGTCCAAATTGCCTATGCAATCTTCTCACACCAATCCTCACACGTGCAGGCAACTTGCGCCACATCCGGCGTCGTTCGGCTTCATCTGCTGGCAGGCCTGGGATGTCTACTTCATCGACCAGTGTCTCTTCCGAGATCAGGTCTTCTACTGGGTTCACCTGAGCACGGTCATCATCATCCCAGATGGCATCGAACTGCTGTTCATCGTCCATCACCTCTTCCTGCAGTTCACCAACACATGCAATAGACATCTCATCATCCAAGGTTGTATCATTGGTCCATTCACCTAACCAATCAACAAACTGCCAAGACAAGACATCATTCATGGTCTGTCCTCGAAACCACGATTCGAAAAGCTCAGTCCACTTGGGATCATTGCAGGTGAATGCCAAGTCATGGTCGTTGATATGGGGAATCTGTGGAAACTCATGTTCCTCCCATCTCGGGGTAGTTGCAACGTCAATGTGCAAAAACCGGCTACCACTCATGTCACAATGGGATTCTACTTCACCCAAAATCTTACCATGTCTCAAAGGATCTGTACTCTGTTCATACTCGATGGCAATGACGATGTTCTTGTAGTCTTGCAAAACATCATACCAAATCTTGGAGTCCTCCTCAGGATTGAGGTACTCAGCTCCCACACCGACGTCAAAAACGTCTGCAACACCATCTGCTGCTTGAAGCTCCTGAAAGATGCGGGGATGCGAAGTAATGACCAAGGTTGGAGGCTCAGAAACTGGGACGTCCTTCAGACCAATGCTGGATTTGACCAAAGCATCTTGATGGTTCAATCGGTCAATGCCCTCCAAGACTGCCCTCCTATGCTTCTTACCCATGGTGGTTCTCTCATTGGGGTCAATTTGCAATGGAATGGACAAGACTCCTGAACTACTTGGCTGTGCATTGGGATCTGGAGGGACTTCCGAATCGGTTTCATTGCTATCTTCCAAATTGATCTCAACCTGTTCTCTCCTATCGAGGTCCCATGCCATGTGTGCTACTGGCTCGTAACTTGCGGACTCAGTGGATGCGGGACTGGTTGGCGATTGTGGCTCAGACTCTGGACGAACAGTTTGAGAAATAATGGACCCTTCTGGTGTTCTTGTGTCCTCGGAACCTGACGTTCTGGATGATTCCCTAAGTCTCCTAGGCTTTGGGGGTGTAGGCG